TAGCTGAGCTAAAGTTAAATTCCAAAAGCAATGTACAGAAGGCAAGTCGGTCGACCTACCTAAGCGGCTCAGGCCAGCCCAAATAAGCATATACTCAGCCAAAAAGTTTTCTACTTGAAACTTCTAGCGCGCAAGGCATTGAACGTCAAGTCGTAGCTCTCCATCGAACTCTACGTTGAATTTTTGGAAATCCCTCTACTAGATAGTATCCATGTTCCAGCCAAAGCCAATACTATGAGAAAGGAAGAAGTATATGTTCTTCCAATCTTGACACGTGGAGGGAAGTTGATGAGGGATAATTTGGTCCTCTGAATGACATCATGAAACATGGCTTTCAAGTGACACCTCGGCATTGAGTAAGCATATCACCTCGACAGGTCAACTGGTAGCTCCTCGTAGGGCCGACCTAAAAGTACCTCGGCTTGGCCGACCTATAGGACCTCCAATTAAGGGGTGACCTACCTTAAGGACTAGCTAAGGTAAGAAAAATACTATCGGTGGCATACAAGGCATGCTCACTGACTTGTCGCATAGATCTATTGCCAGACCAAGTTCTCCAGAATATTAATGAGTCGACCGTTATACCAGCCTACCCACATCACACGCATTAGAGCCAATCAGATGGACCTTTTCCCTCTGCGTAGATTACGTAACCAACATCATTACTTTCTCGACTTAACAAAAATATTTTTGTGAGAACCTAAGACCCATTACAAGAATTAAGGTCTCTGAACATTCACACCTATATAAAGGTCACATTTCTACTTGAAGAAGAAAGCGCGATTAAGCTATCGCACTCTCTAATCTCTTAAGGCCTTCTAAGAAATCTTCGCTGACTTAAGCATCGAAGTGCCCACCCCAAGTAAAAACCACCCGGGCACTCTAACTCTCGCCTTTTGCAAAATCATACAGCTCAACCCATCTCAACTCGGCCACTGACTATGAACATTTGATTCAGCGTCTGAGTCATCTGCCACGTGAGAGTCGCCAAATCGTCCAAACATCAGACACCATCTTATTATTATTATTATTATTATTATTATTATTATTATTATTATTATTATTATTATTATTATCATTATCATTATCATTATTATTATCATTATCATTATTATTCTTTTTTTGAAACCTTTAAACTTGGAAAGAGAAAGACATCTCATACTTGTGTCAGTTGTTGGCATTATAATTTCTTTAGTTTATCTTTTATTGTTAGTATTGGAACAATATATAAATTACATAAATAGAGAGCCTTCTATTAATCGAGATCTAGAAAGGTCTGACTTGTTAGATTGACTTCATAAGAAAAGGGAAATTGGCTATTATAATCAATTATGAATGGGAAAGGGGGCATTTATACGGTTATTTAAATACTCTGGAAGACATGAAGAGTGAGTGATATAAAGAGTACCATTGAAGAGCAAGTTTCTAGGTTTCTCCACATACTAGCACACAATGTCAAGAACCACAAAATGAGCTTTCATTTTAGTCGATCCAGTGAGACTATAAGCTGACATTTCAATAGAGTCCTAGATGCAATCTTGAGTTTAAATGATAGACATTTGGTATAACTAATTGAAAGGGAGACACCTCTAGAGATTAGATACAAGTCTGTTCTTTGGCCTTATTTCAAGGTAATAACCATTTCCTTTTGAAGCTTTTTAATTTGATTTATTAATTTATGCTTTAACTAATGAGACTTATGAATGGCAGGATTGTATAGGAGCAATTGATGGTTCACATCTCCTTGTAAAAATTCCAAATTTAGAAGTTGCTAAGTTTAGAGGTCATAATTCATATCCTACACAAAGCATTTTAGCTGCATGTTAGTTCAACCTACGATTTACATATGTATTGCCAAGATGGGAGGGTGCAACATCAGATTTTAAGATTCTAAGTGTTGCCCTCACAAGAGAACATAAACTTCATGTCCTACAAGGTAGAATATAAAAACCAGAAAATTGATATTAATTTTACTAGTTTACTACAATATTAACTTTATGTTTTTGTAATTACTAGTTTACTACAAGGTTCGGTTTCGGTTAATCAATACAGAAAATCGACGGTTAACCGAACCAACCACTATACATATATTTATATATATTTTATATATTTATGTATGTTATATATATAAATATATATAATATAATATATTATTTATCATTTAAAATATAAACATTATATATATTTTTAGTTTTTATTATATATTTTTATAATATATAGTTAAAAAATAAAAGAACCAATCAACCGAACCGCCGATTAACCGAACTGGTCAACCGGTTAACTGATCGGCTTCGATTTGATTTCAGTTACCAGTTCGGTCTTAAAAATAGGCCTACGATTCGGTTATCCCTAATGGTTTGATCCCTTCTCACTCCTCTCTATTTATAGACTTGGGAAGGTTGCGAGGGTCCATTTCTAATCTATTTATAACTCCTAATTCATTTAGGATAAGATTAGAGAGAATCCATCTCTATTGATCAATCATTAGATTGGAATCCATCTAACTAGTCAAACTAATTAAATCCTAGTCTTACTAGATTTATCTAGCACATAGTTTGACTAGGACTCCTATGTAAGACTCTTAATTGTCCATTAGCACTCTATTATTTTTGAAAAATGTTTATTCAATTAGGAAATTATAGCTTGCATGGTGTAGGACCTGTAACTTAATGGGAGAACCAACATGTCACATACTTTATACAAGTTAGTGGGCCCGACCACATAAGTTTTAATTAGCCATTATAGGCTAATTCAAACATAGTTGTTATGGGCTTAAGTGATCAGGCCAATTAAGTGTCTAAAAACTTAAAACACTTGGAACCTTACCATTTTAAAGGCTAAAATCTATTGGTTCAACCCATTATGTGATAATTAAGTTAATACATCGCAATTAATCACTTGCAATCAATCTCTCTGTTATAAACGCTTGACACCACATTAAAGGAAGAGCTTTTCCCCTTTTTGTTTTTATGACATGGTGCCCAACTCCCAACACTATTTGATCATTCATTGAGGATTTAGATAATCCTATTGCTACCAAGAAGGGGTGATCATTCCAGCCCGACCTAGAAAATCCGGGCTTGGGCCTAGGTTTTTTGTTAAGGCCCGACCCAACCCAAATATTTATTTATAAATAATATATATACATAAAGATATAATATATATAAAGATATCTTTATGTATATATGTTCTTTAAAAATATTTGATAATTGATGTTTTATATATTAAATAGAGATTTGTAGGAGATTAAAGATTTTAATTTTACGGTCTTAGATCTTACTAAATTCTAATCTAGTATTTAATGAAATATAGAAATTACTAAACCCTAATATTCTCGGCTCTCTCTCTCTCTCTCACCAAAGATGAATCTTCTAGTGATGAAGACTCCATTGATGAAGATAATTCAGAAGTTTAGAGTGGTTGCAAGTTTTGGGTAAAATTGAAACCATTTTCAATATTTTATTACTTATTTATTTACATTAATTTGAACTATTTTTTCTTAGTTTGCTAATATCTTTTTTATTTATAAGAGTTGAATGGAAGATGGAGCCCTTTATAGAGATTTTTAAAGTTGTTTTGTGGATATTGCATGACAATGGATGGTTATTTTTTTTTATAGATATTGTAGGTTCTAGGTTGATTCTTTGTTGATAAAAGAATTGGTTTATTAAAATTATCGTTTTTAGCTTACTAATGACTAATTGAAACTTTTAAAGTACAAGGTATAATTATTTAATTTCTTTTATGTTAGAAGCTTTTATCTTGATATTAAGTTTAAAGTTTCTTATATGTTACTCTAGTCTCCACAACAACAAAGTGAAAAAAAAAATACAATTGTTTAATTTTGGAATTGAAATATAATAATTAGGCTTGGAATCTTGGCTTGGCCCGAGCTGGGCCCTGTCTTACATTTTTAGGCCCATAATGTGGGTTGGGCCCGGACCTAGCCTAAGTCTGTTGTTATGAAGGCAAATCCCAGCCCGGGTCCGGCCCGCCCCGGCCCATGATCACCCCTACTACCAAGTTAAGGACTCCAAGAAGGAAGTTGTATAAAGTGTTATCTATCTCTTAACATAGTAGCAAATCCTATCACGTTGATCATTAGTCGATATACCATCCTTGAATTTCCTAATATACCTAGATATTTGACCCCAAAAGGATCTCATCGATTAATATATTAAAGACATACGAACTTAGTACTCAATCAAATATCAATACCAAGTTTAGGGATTAAAAGCAATACCCAACCGTTCCACCTATCAGAGAGTCCAAGAACATGCTAGTTTTGGTTCATTTAAATGTTTCTTGCAAGTACTCATCCTCACACGTTAGGTCACAACCCGAGAAATTGAGACCCATTGCTTCACTACCTTGGGCAATGCGATAATGATAACCTTGTTAAGATATTTCCCTAAGTGTATCCATTAGTCTCATACATAATACTTATATGAAGTAAAGATATTTAGTAGAACAACCCGATGACACATGAAATAAATATTTTTTTATTCTTGACAAAACTATGTATAATATATCAGTTGGAGCTGAGAGCATAGATACTAACAATCCCAACTTTTGATTAATTCATCAAGTCATATCTTGGCGTGGTTTACCTTCTACACATATTGCATCTCCATCTTTTGTTTGTGAGGCATGTTGACTCAATAAGGCTAAGTGGCTGCATCTCTTTTTATCTACAAGAAAGTGAAGATTTAATGGCGTTTTTCTTACTGGCATTTATATAATCGCCACTATATATTATTTTTAATGGCGTTTATTAAAAATGCGACTATATCCATATCAAAATCGCTATTATATGCACTTTAAGTGCCAATTATTAAAATGCCATTAAAAATATATTTAAATTGCCGCTAAATGTATGGTTTTTAAGTGGCATTTATTAAATAGCCGTTTAAATCACCTTTAAAAGCCATTATATCAGCAATTTTAACCATTGATTTCACTTCTACATCAATGGTGTAGGTTTAACTTCATTGGAGAAATTATATATGCAACAAAAAATTGGCGTGTGGATACCAATTTCTTCCCGCGCCCATTCTTCTTCTCTCTGACAACGCACGTCTCCTGCTATACTACCAAAATCGCATTCATCAGAAGCCACCGCAGCAGAGGACCCTAATTTTTTTCACTCAAAACTAGTGTGTTCCTCTCTCTAGCAATGCACGTCTCTTGCAAGATACATTGAGTTTGGTTGTGTCGTCATATCTTCAGCCATTGGTCTTCTGATGCTTGAAGCTGGTTAGTTCAATTTCGAACATATGCCTGTTCTCTATTTTTGTTTCATTTTAGGTTCTATTGGTTTATTTTGATTGTTGTGTGTGTGTGTGTTTTGTAAAACATTTGGGGAGGGTGTTGGAAACATGAATTTTAGGAGATAGAGGGAAACCCCTATTTGAACATGTTGCTCTCTGTCTTTCTAGTCCAATCCTAGAAAAATGCCACCAATCGAAAGGCCTAGCAGAGGAGGACTTCTCTTCCCATTGTCTTTGCATCGTACCTTGTCGTAGATACCCCCTGTCATCATTAATCTTCAGTTCAAAGGCCAAACTGAAACGCTATTGCCATTGTTTGAAAGAAATCATCCGAGTTGATCGAATCCCAACGTCATCCTGTAGCATCAATTCAACATTCTAAGGCTCTAAGAGGTAAGCCCTTTACCACATCCTTTCTATTTTGATTGAAGTTATGTTTATTGCTTGAATAGGTAGTTTGTTAGTTGTGCTCTTTTTTGGTTTTAAATTTGAGTACAAAATTTTTTAAATGAAGAACCCATTTTTTTCTTTGTTTTACTTTTATTGGTAATGGGTGATTAATTTCTTCATATCTTGAGTATTTAGATTAGGTTTATTTATTTATTTTTTATCTTTTGGTAAAGGATTTTTTCGATTGATTGATTTTTTATTTGATTTAAGAAATGACCACCTCCTACTAACTAAAGGGTAACCACACCCAATGTTTTTGTTTGGGATCCATTATTTGTGATAACTTTGAGTTTGTTTTCTTGTAAAATAAGATAAAATTGAATTTTATTTTCTATTTATTTTCTTTTTCTTTTCATAAAAAAATCTAAGAGATTGAGAATATTGGTTGTTCGATTGAAATCCAACAATGGATGTTTGCATTTCTAACACAACAATTTTATTGTTCCAAATACATCCTTGATATTCATTTGTCGAACTGTGGCTTTTGGGCACCAGTAGCAACTAGTAGTTCTTTAAACTTGTATGTCAAAGATTCAATTTGTTAGTCATATAAAATTTGCATTGCTGAATTTAGATGAAAAAAACACTGGCCATAGACAGAGGGTCATTTAGCTAAATGAATATAAATTGAAACAGGCTTATGCAATTAAGCTCAGGATCAAGCTATCTGAATTGGCCACATGTTTGCTCACCTAATCCCCCCTTTAGTCTCTCTCACTCCACTTTGAATGGAAGCTGCTCTCTAGTGACAGTTGAGATTTAGTAATTTTTTTCAATTAAAAAACCCAAAATAAAAATGGCTTAATTTTTGGATATATTTCAGGACTACATATGAAACCTATATACCCAATGAGTAGCAGATGGAGGAAGTAGCATGTGGCATGTGGTGTGTCTCTTGAGTCCATAATTAGGAAAGATTCCCAAATTGTTTATATTAAGGCTTATTTTATTTGCAATGCAATTTCATTTGCACTGGTATAAAAGTATGTGAATGTAAATGAGTTTGAATGCAAATTCTGATTTATCTTTGTTCTACTTGATTGCATTATGGTATTTCTAAACCTTGCACTTGGACTATAAATATTTGTATTTGGGATGCAAATGAAGGTGATATTCCATTGAAAAAAATCCCTTAGATGCTTGCAGACTCAACTAGAAAACTTAGCTTGAGGCAGTGCTACAAAGAGGGTGCCCTCACCATGAGTGCTACGAGGTCCCCCCACCCTAACCACTTCTGTTTATCCCATGTATCAGATTGGGCCCCATGTAGCAGACTCAGCAAGCCCAGATGACTTGTCAACTACTATCTTAGACTTAAAGACCCAAAAGTAGATCTATTAAGAAAGAAATCCTATCTTAAATTCATAATTAGCAAATTAAGGGGATAAGAACCAAGATGCTTCTTAGAATCAGGGAAGTCTAAGGTGGAATCTATCAACTAGTGGGCCTGCGAATTATGGGCCCCATACTGATCTGCAATTTCTCCAGCCCTAGAGATCCATATGAAGACATTTACTCGAGTAAGGTTTAGTTTTTTGAGACCACCTTGATTCACTGTGGCAACAAAACCCACCATGATTGATAAATTAGATTGTCCATGGGATAGATTAACTTCCTTTTTTTTGTCTTTTTTTAATCTACAGTGGTCCCTAAATGGACCAGCTTCATAAGAGACTGATCTCTCATGGGGCTAAGTACTGAGTAGAGAGCTCTCACCTACAATCAACAGGTTGGAATTGTTTTTGGCCTAATGATATTGCCAGGTAACATTTTACTATTGCCAATTGACAATTCCACAATGTACTTTGTACTTTGTTTTTTGTTCTTATAGCTACCCATTGTTCATTCTGTCTTATTGTCCAACTCTGTTTTTTTTTTCCTTGCACTTAGGTTTCAGAAGAGGATTAAAAGTTAAGAGAGTGGTTTGATAGGTTGGCAAAACTTTTTGCATTTTTCTGATTTTCTTGCAATTTCTGCAAAATTTCAGGTATTTTCATGTATAATTGTCTATGGATTTTTGCATTTGTCACTTATCAAGATAATATATGTTGGGTTTGTATTTTGCATCATGCCATTTAGATATTACCATGAGAAAAGTCATGCTAGACATCCTATGAGCACTAGGGGTAGTAATCAATCCCAACCAAGCTCTAGCCATTGGATTGAGTCTCAATCAGTTGGCTCTCGAGATTCTTGAAGTGACAATGGTGTAGGAGGTGAGTATATATATTTATATTCATGCTTTTATATATATTATGTTTGTTTTTCCCAATTTAAATATATGAATTTTTTCATGTTGCTATTTCTTTTACTTTTACTAGACAATAATACCTCACGTAAAAGAACTCGAGGACCTACAAGGTGTTTGGACGTGTGGACATTGTCTGAAGGAAAACAAATTCCTATTGAATCAAACAAATATACACAAGTTATTGGAGATACAAGTAAAAAATTGGTTACCTTTAAGGGCACGGTGGCAAGAAATGGAAGTTTAGCACCGATAACATATAATGATTGGAGATCTATGCCTAAGGATAAAAAGGAAGAAATGTGGAAAATTATCAAAGTATGTTAATTTAAAAACTACAATCAAGTTATAAGTATTTTTTATGAATATTTTGACACATGCAATTAATTAATAAATACATATGATGCAGGAGAAATTTGATGTTGATGACAGTGGTAAATCTTGAGCAGTAAAATCTATTGGAAAAAAGTGGAAGGATTGGAAACATCTTAAAGAAAAGATATTTTGAAGTAAATGAAATCACTAGAGTTGATGGGCGTGTCTTTAAGGACCAATTGGAGCTGCTCATTCGGTTTTGGCAATCTGATGAAGGTGATGTATGTAATATTTTTTAACTATACTTAAATTGTAGGGTTTCATTTGTACACATTGGATTTGATATGTTTGCAGGCACGTAGTGTGAAAAACAAGGAGAGCCGTGCAAAACAATTTATGAGACACACTACAGGCACAAAGAGCTTCGCTAGAATAAGAGAGGAGGTAAATTATAAAACAGTTTGTTATTAAAGATAAAATGATTCTCTTTTAATTAAAACTTTTTTTACATGGGAACAGTTGTCTAGGAAAAGTAATGCAAAGGAACCAAGTAGAGCTGAAATGTTTATTATAACACACACGGAAAAATGGTTCAATTGTGGACCAAGCTTCAGCTGATATGATTTTATTTTCAATATTTGTTGTGGTTATTTTGTTAATTGATTAATTAGAAAGTAAACTTGTCATTTTATTATAGGCGCATTTAAATGAACAAATATCTCAAGAAACTGAAGTTTCTGAAGAAGAAATTTTTTCTCGCATCATGGGAAAAGAAAAATATGGTCGTGTTCGAACATATGGGTTGGGACCATCACCTACTGATATATGGGGTACAACACCTGGACGTGCAGAGGCATTGAAGATAGCTTCAGAAGCCCAAATGGAATTGCTAGCTACAAGATAATCATCTGATGAGAGATTCAATAAGATGCAGGAGGAGATGCTTCGGTTACAATCCACTCTGGCTCAATTACAAGAGACATTGGCTACATTGACATCCAATTGCCCAAGTCCGTCGGCCAATCAAGTAGGTGCTCCTGTTTTTTCTATCGGTGTGAATAGGCAATCATCAACATCAAGTCACATAGCACCATCTCCCAAGGTAAATATGATCTAATTTTAAAAGTCAATTTGGTAACATCCTTCTTACAAAATTTTAATGGAAGGTTGTCTCAGCTCCACCCATTTTAGGCAGCACACATAAAAATAATGCGCAAGCAAGAAATTTGGAGGTAGTTGAGCATTTGGTAAGAAAGTTACTTAATTAATTATTATCTTAAATATTTTGCATTGATGGATATTGGCTTTTGGTAGGTATCAATGCCAAAGAGGAGAAAAAACTATGAATAACTCCTACCATAGGGTTCTTTTGAAGAGTGCTTCAAAGCCAGAAATCACAGTGGCTCAAGGAACATTACTTAATAAGAATTCATCTACAAAAGTCAGAGGCTTTGAATTAGGTGCTGCTTTTTGGGAAGTACATGTGGAGGTCCCTTTCGTGTTTGAGGAGCCTTTAATGAGGCCTTATGGATGTTATTGAACAATTGGGGATGCTGTTGGTTCAAGTGTTGCTTGGCTAACTTCATTGGTAAGTTTTTTTTTTTTCATTGAAGTTTAGTTTTCTTACTTTTTTAGAACCTTTGATTTACTGATTTTTATTTTCTTTTTGTAGGTTGTAGACATGTGACCTTTGGACAAATATGCACTAGGAAAAGTTTTTGGTTCAACGACAAAGTAAGTTTCTATTACAATTGGTGAAGATGTTTTATTTCATTCCCAATTGGTGTGTTCATTCCTTGCATAAGCATTGATTTAGGTGGGATTGGGATTTCCTATGAAAAGAAAATAACAGAAATGATGGATTGGGATTCATTCATTTATTTCATATGATTATACACTTGAAAACTTTACCCCCTTAGTTGAGTACTATGGGGAATATAAATTACAGGCCAAAAGTCTTTACCATGAATCAGAAAAAAAAAAGAAAAAATGTTTTGGTAGTCATTTCTTTTGAAACAAAAAAAAAATCAAAAGTTTAGATGGCTAATATAATACAGACATTACTTCAATTCAGTGTGCTGTAAAGGATGATATGTACTTTTGGAGCAAAGACATGGCTGATCCAGAGCCCCCCCCATCTAATGGATAGTTTGGATCAGCTATTGTGTTTGTATGGGATATTTGCAACTGTGCATGATTGTAATTATAATCCTGAATATTCTCCTTGCTGTCTCTCTACTAGCCCCCATCACACAGTTTTGGGGTTTTGAATATGAACATGTAGATAGGAATTTCAGTTGTTTTGCTCCTGTTAGTGGTGTTAGTGAAGGGGTATTTCAGTCTTTGTACTTGTTGAGAATGCTGATGTGTACTGTTATATTAGTTCGAGT